TGCTGCATAGAGACTACGTTACACCCTGTGTTGAGGCTGTAGCCCAAGCCGCCTTTTGCAGGGATCAGCAGCAGAACAGCATTACTCAGCAGCAGTACTTGCCGCACAGGATGGCCTAAACTGCTGAAAGACCTCGTGTGTTGTGCACTGAGAGCGCAGAAGTTCCGCACGCCCGGAGAAGCAGTCAAGAAGCCAGTAGAGGTCTACAAAGAGTAAGATATAGCAGTTCAAAATGAAGAGCTCAGATGAATGCTGCATCCCCTGCCCATGCATGGCCTTACCGCCTGCTGGGGTTCCGCTGCTGCGAATCGATGGTTGCATGCCATACATGGGTCGGTGCATTAGCAGGGTGGGATGCGCATTGCTGTACATCCTACCAAAGAGATATCTCTGGGCCGGAGTCCTGGTCAACGCCTCTCGTAACGTCGCCCCATCTAAAAAAAAAAACGGCGCAGCCCCGCCGCTTTTGCCCGTAGCAGTCAGACCATTCACGAACAGAGCCAATACGCAAGGTGACTTTCTTGCCAATTCCTAGCTACCCGCGCACGAATGCAGCTGCAGTAGCGGCGCCAGGTGGTGAGCGCTGAGCAGACGCAGTGCTGAGTTGCACCACATGCTGCAGCCAAGCTGCCAGTGCAGCACTTCCTCGGGAGTCCATAGCCCCGGATCATCCTCTCCTCCCCTATCTTGTGTTTCTCCCTCTTTGGGGGTCTGGTCACCGCGGTCATTATCTGTCGAATCGTTGACAACGTCCTTTTCAGCGGGAGGTGAGCATGTAAATTTTGCTTCTGTCCTTGTCTGCGAGTCCGTGGAGGCCCAGTGTGACGAAAGGTACGCATCCATTACGCGCCGAAGAAAGTCCTGTCGAGCCGTCGGTGGCAGCGGTTCTGTAGACAATGGCGCTTCTGACGTTTGCTGCCTCTTCTTTCTCTTTTTCTTCGAGGGAAGTCGAGGCAGTGCAAGACGCAGAGTAGTCGTGTGGCTGCTGGCAGCTGCCAGATAGCTGTGCAGCAGCTTCCTGCACTCACTCCAAATAAACGAACGCCACGCACATTTTGCCTTGGAACCACCGTATGGCTCAGCTCCTGAGCCAGCTCCACAGCGGCATCTCCCGCTGGCACACGCGCCTCGAGCCTTGACAACCTTCTTTGCGGCTGCGGCCACAAGGCGACGAGCAAAGGCTCTCCACTCGTGTCGAGTTTTTCCTCCTTCTGATCCACTGTGGCAGTCCTCACTAGCTGGGTCTGGGTCTGAGGTCCGGCTCTCTCTTGCCGCATATCGCGCTCGAGGAGGGCAATCCTCTGAAGTGCGCTGNGTCTGCCTTGCGAAGCACGCAATACTGCTCGCCGCCTGCTGTGGCGGCCCCTGGATGTCTGGGTGCGTATCTGACGAACACAGAGCGGCTTCTCCTTTGGCATTGTCTGGGTCCCCCAAACGTGAATTGCCTTCGGGTCCTGGCCTTTCTGATTCAAAGTTGCTCGTAGGGCCTGACGGACCCAAGGACAGCGTTCCTTCTGTTGACTCCTGAGACAATTCACCCGCCGCAGGATCGAAGTCAGGGGCGTGGATCCCGGTGAACTGTAGGACGTCCTGAAGAAGGGCTGTGAAAATGCGTTTGACATCACGGCGCAGCCTTTTGCCTTCTTCTAGAGCTTCCATGCCTTCGGTCCCCTGCTGCAGTTCATGCAGCTCCGAAGCGCAAGTGCGACTATGACTACGAGTAGTACAAACAGCCCCATCACCGCCATGAGCGCCTACATCGACCTGTGCCTGAAAAGCGCCATGCTGATCTCCAAATGGACCGAAAAACGCAGTCACGCCCACAGCCCGCCATCGCCAGGAATCGATATGTCTACAGGCACAAGGAAACGGAGAGTGCAACAAGCCGTCCAGAAAAGGCAGCACTGCGGATGCCGAGTCCTGCCCCGTCGCCTCCTGTGGGTTACCGTTCTGTCCCTTCTTATGTGCAGCCTGCAGGCGTCTACTCAAAATGTGAAACGGGTCTTTAATCAAACCCTTTGTCAACGGAGCTGCTCCCCACAACAAATCGACAGGTAGCCACCTCCATTCCCTTGGGGAGTCGTCGATATGCGCATATGTCTGTAGACTCTCTCTAACAAAGTCTCTCAGCGCCCCGTACGACTCAAGTTGTGCTTTCCCTTCCAAAAGTTGCATCTCTTCTTCAGCTGCCTCTGCTGCTTCCCACCGGNGCGCATGCGCTATAGCTGCCAGTGCTTGAGCTGAGGCCTGTCCCGCCGAACCTGCAGAATTAATCCGTCTGCGTTTGGGGTTAGGTTCTTCCTCTTGTTCGTCAGCGGAGTCCGCAGGAGACTCTTCGCGTCGCGGACGAGCCTTCCAAACAACTCTACACAGACAAGAGGCCAGATGAGCAAGGCCTTCGTAACTGCAGAGCTGTTCAAAAGACACGTTGCCTGCATCTCGTCTCGAACGACACAGCGCCAGCTCTATGCGCATGCGAGGCACCACTGTAGGACAGGCAGGAGCCTCTTCCCCATCACAGTTTCCTGGCAGGCCATTCGCTGCTGTATTTTCTGAGACATGTGCTGCAGGAGAAGAGGTAGTAATGTCATTGCCACCCTGAGTAGAGGCGGCTCCCCTCCTCGCAGCGTCTCTTCGTAAGGCAAACAGCGCTGCGGCGCGGAGCAGCGGCAAAAGACACACAGAACGAGGCCTGCACGAGAAACAACGAAAGATATACCCTGGAAGGGGTTGGCACAGCCGACGTAGAACCCATATCGACAGCTACCAGCTCAACGGCCTGCTGCTCCACCTGTGGACTGAGCGGACGTGCAAAGGCTGACAGAAATGCAGCAACGCGAGGAGCCACTCGTTGGGCGAGACGTAGGGCGNGCAACAGGCAAAGAAAACTTCTGCAAACTGCATATTTGTGCCTGCATGAGACTAGAGAGGTTCCCATTTCAAATCAGAAATGCACATAAATCACGGAATTTAATGCATATGGTGTGCACTAAATATTGTTTGTTTGAGGCAAAGTTCTGTCAACAAGGGGTAACAACATCAGAGCTGGCCTGCATAGCTATTGTGAACAGCGCATAGGGTCTGGTAGGAGTAGCGGATGCCTACAATCATTCCTCCCATCCGGCTCAAGTCAAATACCTCCCGGGCGTTGTAACTTGGGCCTCCCCAGGGGGGAGCAAGGAAGGCCTGAGCAGACAGACCACCCTGAACACCCTCGTGCCTACCGAGCAGTCGCCGCTCAGCTGCTGCTTTCAGCAAGTCTAGGATGTTGCTTAGGGGTCCCTAGGCTGCCTCCTCCATATCCAGTTGCGTCGTGTTTAACGGCCTTCAAGGTATTGTTTTTGGCTCTCAGGTGCTGCTTATCGAACCCGTGAGTGTGAGTTCATGAAAGATCAGTCCTTACTACATCCAGTGTGCCTCTGCGGAGCTGGCGAGATGTCAACGTTGCAAAGTCCCCGATGATGAAGTCTACGCGCGAGGTCACCTGCGGACCTGGAGCAGCGCCAGCAAAGTAAGCCCAGAACTTATCCCTTGAACACTGCGCTGGTAGCATGAGCATGAGAACATGAGTCCCAAGGACTATGCTCCAGCAAATAAACACGACTGTGAACTGCCCACGTAGGGGAAAACAAGTGCCCACTGGAGCGCCCAGTTGAAGCAGTGGAATCAATGTTTCGCAGCTATGCACAGACACGGTGAAAGAAGATTTCCCCAANAAAAAGCGAATTTACCATGCAAACCGGATGTACCAGGAATGCATATTGAGTGGGTGTGGTGAGGCCCGAAGGGAGACCAACCTCCGCAAACCCTCTGCTGCAGCAGCGTTGGTTTACGTACACATTACGATCGCGGTGCAACTGAAACGAATAAATGTCATTTTGGAGGGTTGGGGGAGAAGTTCGGACGGTGCTTACCGTAGACTGCAGCGTTTGCCTTGGCAATTTCGATGCGCACCGGGTCTATTTCGCAAGATATGACAAATCCGCACGACCTCGCAAACGCAATAGTGTTACCCCCAGCCTGAGCGGCACAAGCACTATTAGAAACAGCTGCTTTTTGTTGCTGACCCTGCTGAGACTGCGCCAACAGCAGCATCGACAGCAGCTGCAGCATGGCTTCACCGACTGACAGCGCCGCGAGTGATCTGGGAAAATAGAGAGCCATCAAAGTGCTAACGAACCCCTGCAAATCCGTCTAATATCAAATCACAGCGACACCGCTCTGCTGTATGTACGGCGAGTTGTTCGGGGGTAACCGACCACCACATCTCCTCGTCAAGCTGGATGCCTTCATCGAACTTCGAGAAGAGTTCCCGCCGACGGCTTTCTCTTTGCCTGTCAATAGAAACAGAATGCATCCGGCCCCATAAAGCTGAGCCTCAGTACTGCGGTGCCAAGCGGGTGACCGAAGGCTGCTCTGCGTCGTTTCCCAGTGTGCATTTGCAACCCTGGATATAGGCGTGTTCCTTTCCCTCTTATGTATACTGGGAATTACTCGTGCTGGGTTATACATCGAGGCCAACGCTAANCTTAAAGCGCCTAGATTTCTCGTTTCACTGCTCAATTGTGCATATGCCTGGGGTACATAGCTCACTCCTGTTTGCTCCTAACTCGTTGTCGTTTGCCTGTGAACACGCCCTCCGTTCCTTGCGGTGGAGTGTAGGCCCACACCTCCGCTGACAACACATCCGTTAGCTGAAGCGCGGACCCTTTTTCCATCGCTGAGCTGGCAAGGCGGCAGTGCGTCTAGGGCATTGCGTTCATGCAGCAGGGGCGTGAGAGTAGGACCCCAGTTGTATGCGGTTAGTGGGAGGGCAGGAAACAAGACCGACCACCAAATCGCTATCGGTGAGTCAATGAGACCTGCAAAAACTTAAAGTGCAATTCATTTTTCTTCCTACCGACGACAACCCTCATGACCATCGAAGGCTTCAGTATCGAATGTATCATGTGCCGGATTGTGGATCAGCGGCGAAGGCGAAAGATGGAGACTGCAAAAAGCATTTATACATATATGTATGTTTAAAATCCACTTCTATGCGTATTTCGATATATCGCAGGTAGACGCGTTCGCTGCACTGGACACGTAGCGGCGTCAGCTGCAGACCCTGTTGAAAGCGTTGCCGATTGCCTCGTGTAATCACCAGCGCCAGCCAGCAGTTAAATTCCAGAAAAGACTTTATTTCGNGGCCCCACGTGCCAACCGTCCCGCAGGGCAGTTTCTAAAGATTTGAATCATCGTCTATCTGAAGTTGGCGCGTATATTTCTGCTCGCTTGGGAGCTGGTTAGAGAGGGGCAAGCTTGTGCTTAACAGTTTTCCGCAGAGTTACTGCTTGCACAAGGAGCGGCAAAGCCATGCTTGCATATCCGGTGGCCTTGCATCCCGTAGCGATCTGCTTACAGTTAGCACAGTAGCATTCACTTGACCTTGGTAGGTTGCCTGCAAGCAAATACAAACGCTCCATAACTGTATACAGAGGTAAAGTATGCAGTATTTTTGTGCTCACACGTGAGGCTGGCTTGCATCGCCAGCTACAGCGGGGCGCACTGCAACTCCAGTTAGGCTGCCTCCTACACCGCACCCCGAGGTCCTGAGCTGAACACCCCGGATACCTGGGGACAGGGGAGCGAGACCATTAGTTTTGCAGAAACTCTCACCTCAACTCTGCAGCTTCATTGCAACTCGCTTCCGTTCTTGAATACGGCCGGAAAGCGCGCATTACACAAGTGCAGTTGGTACAGGGTGTGCTGCATATCACGATAGGCTGCCTTCCCTCCATACTAGCGCCAGGCCCTGGTGCTGCTGTCCCCAGGATTCCTGGATGCTGATGGGGAGGTGGGCTGCGCTTTTAAGCAGGTGTTGTACGCATATTGTAGTGCGGTGCATTGCAGGGTGGCGTCAGTACGAATCGTGTCAGAGAAACAGCGGCAATAATAGTCAGAAATACTCAGAAATGTTTGGATGAACACTATCGTGTATTATATGAACTCACCCCACGGACAATCCGTTCTTTCGGTTTGCCAAAAACTGATTTTTGCTTATAGGTAGATCCGCAGGCATCCCAGGGACACGTTACTGACCAGGGGCACTGTTACCTGACGCATACGGTCTGCCTGACGAACCAGTCCATCCCCAGAATTTCTTAGCCTGGATTTTCCTTTACAACTTTTGAACTATGTTCCGGGCTTCTTCAGAACCTCAGTCGGAGGAGACGGGGATGTCGGTATCAGACAAACCAGATGCTAACTAGTATTTCTTCAACATCTCCATTAATCTCGAGAGTATGTATTGAACTAATTGAATTTCGCCCCCCCGGTAGAAAGGTAGAACGTAATTGTTTCACAACCTTTGAGAACTGAAAGTTTGGTTGCCATTCCAAATCCTGTAAGCAAGCCCTGAGGCCCCTGAGCAGTGTGGAGCTGGTACATGTATCTTCACTTGCCTGCAGTCTGGCTATGGAGGGACAAGGAAGCGTTCAAAAACTGTTCGCAGCATCAGCGCATGTAGGAGAAGGCGCTTTTGNGCTATGGAGGGACAAGGAAGCGTTCAAAAACTGTTCGCAGCATCAGCGCATGTAGGAGAAGGCGCTTTTGTTTGTGGGAATTCCTTACAGCAGTAGCTGAAGTAAAGCGCACTGCGGCTCTTGTGAAGCTGCCTCATCTCGCACTAACCCCTGGCCCTTAGGTTGCTGCTCTCAGGAAGCCTGGAGACTGGGGAGGGGGCCAGTTAGTCGTTTTTTGTTGTTAACACAACACCACATACATTTACAGCCAAACAATATTTTTGCATGCATTAACAGCAGGGCCTCAAACCCAACTTCACACAAATGACGTTACATATTCCCCTGCCTCGGTCATATGAGACACGCTTTAGTGGGCCCCGTACATTGTAATAAAGAAATATAGGGGGAAATTGTGAGGGAAAGAGGAAAAGCAGCATCCAGGGATGCCGCTCTGCCGCAATGCTGCTCTCGCCGGCTCGTAGGTTGTTCTCTTCTCAATTTGTTCTGCTCCGCTCCCCAGTTGTCGTGTGGCCCTACACACTGGGAAAGGAGACGGCCTGACATGTTGCCACATCTTTTTGCTCATCTCGTGCCAGAATCTCGTGTAATCATAACGACATCGTCTTTCATTGTTACTGTTCTGCGCCGTCCCATCGTGTGAGGGGACTCTGATCCCTACTGAAACTCACNTCGTCTTTCATTGTTACTGTTCTGCGCCGTCCCATCGTGTGAGGGGACTCTGATCCCTACTGAAACTCACCGTTGGGTTTTGTGTGCGTTTCGATTATTGGGAGGACAAGACGCAGAGTTACCGGCACGGTTTGATGCACCCACTGATGAAATGGGGGTCCAGTTCCGAGGGCCATATGATACATATGGCCCCAAACTCCCTTTAGCTGGCTCGCTATAGGGAATTTCCTCACACAGGTGAGCCAGTTGACAGTTTATCCTTGCCTTTTCTTAGCAGTTTGTCTGCTTGTTGCTCAACTTCCTCTTCAGCAGGCGGGAGTCGCCCGTACCGTGGAACAAAGCTTTGGGCTGCTCGTGGAATGTGTTCGATGCCGTGCATTACCGTGCAACTGCTGCCCTGCCCTCGTGTAACGGACACCTGGAGACAGGAGTTTAAGTTATCCGCTTTTTCTCATCTCATATATTGAGCATTTCAACCCTTTGCAGATCACGGCGGTCTTCGAATGAAA